AATGTTTCAGTGTTAATGTGGTTGTAAATTATTCTAATAAGCCCCAAGCTCTTGAAAAAGATCCCTTGGAGGCGGTATCTTGTGTTGCATCCTTTTCAGATGAGATAGACAAATGGCAGAAGGAAGTCGATGCAATAGAAAGAGCACTATACAATGTTGGTCTTGGTTTCGAGGATGAACAAGTGGAACCGATCGAGCAAGTTGTGCGAATCGAGCCTACGGTAAGTGTTGAACGCAATGACAATTTGAAGCAACATTCGATCGAAGAAGGGTTTTTAGTGCGTAGCATTGAAGATCCCCCAGTCCAAGTCAAGGAGGATCCACCAGATAAGGCGACTTGGCGTCCCACAGGTTATGTTAGGAAGCCGCATCGTAGCCTAAACATCGCTAGACCGGGTGAGAAACCACCCGATCAAGCGTTAGGCTAAGGGTCCTAGAAATTGTACTTGGTAAGAAGGTCGTGCGGGACCTATATAAACCAGCGCTTTGCGGGAGGCAACCCGTATTTTTAATGTTTTTTAGTCTAGTTTTTCTTTTCTTTTTCTTATGAGAGGAGAGATGAGGGAATTTAATGAGTTTTATGAGTGTTTGTACAGGTTTGAAGGAAAAGAGTTAGCCAAATTTTGGAGAAAAGAAGAAAAATAAAGTTCGCCGATTTAGTCTCGGGCCCGACCGGGCGAAGCTCGCCCGATCGGGCGCGAGAGCAAGGGTCTGAAAATAAAAATTTCGCCCGACCGGGCGAATGGCGCCCGATCGGGCGCGAAAATTGACGTTTACGGACTAATTTGTCCGCCCGATCGGGTAAGCCTCGCCCGACCGGGCGCGAGAAGGGAGCAATTTTTGGCCTAAAGATCGCCCGATCGGGCGCCATTCGGGCGCGAGAGCTACAAAATTTAAGTTCGAAAGATCGCCCGACCGGGCGAGTGGCGCCCGACCGGACGCGAATAAAAAGTAAATTTGATCGCCCGACAGGGCGAAATCCGCCCGACCGGGCGCGAGAATCAGCATGCACATATTCCAGATCGCCCGACCGGGCGCGATTTATTTCCGCGTCTTCTTCTTCCCTCTCCTCTTCTTTCTTCCTCCATTTCTTCAATCTCATTTACTTTATCTCTCTAAAACTCAAATTTTCTCTAACTTCTCTCTAAGATTTCTCCTCCATTTCTTACCCAAATTCAAAACTCTTTACATATTTGTGATCCTCTCTTCACCCTCTTCACTCTCATACAAAAAAATTTCAGTTTTAATTCACAAAATTTTCGAGCCATTTCTTCAACATGGCTTCAAAGAGGGCTAGATCCATTTTTGGTAGGAGCTCCAGTTCGAGGGAGGAGTACGACCCAGACTTGCAGCTCCCGTATTGGCCGACGATCCGGATCTTGATCCGGGAATAAAAGGAACGATTGGAGCATTTGGTCGGCCGTGAGATAATTCCTTCTCGGTGGTTACACCGCCCTACCTTAGAATCATATGGTTTGTACGATTTTGTTAAACGATTTTTGAATGATATTGGCATTAGAAAATTTGTTGACATGCATTATCCTACATACCGAAAACTCACCTGTGAATTCCTGTCCATTTTTCATGTTGTTAGTAGTAGGAATGGGCCTAATTTATTTTTCAGGTTAAATAATAGAAATATTAGTTTAACTTTTGTTGAATTTTGTAAAATTTTTGAATTAAATTCTGAATTATCTTACCAGTGGCATGCAGATTATAAAATGGGTGACTTATATTATGTTCTGACTGGTTTACCTGCCCCCGACCCCCAACATGCTAGTACCAAACCTATTCACCACCCTGTCCCAAAAATCTGGCAAAGATTTGCGGGTTTGTGTTTTTTAGGTAGGGCCGAGCCACATAACGCTCAAACCAACGAACTAGCTGTCATAGGACATTATGTGTACGGGTTCGGGAAATTGAACATAGGCAGGTTTATAGTTCACCATTTGAGTAGGCATGCCACACCCAGCACCACCTCCAAGTCCCCTATCCGTTTAGGTGGCCTTATCACTCGCATAGCGGTGAAAAAGGCCGGTTTTGTAGTAGACGGACCCCACCAGCTGACTAACTGTGGACCAGATACCTACATGACTGCTAGGTATTTTGAGGATGTGGGGTGGGTTAGGCCGGATAGCGAGCAGACACCCTTTTGGTGTATTCGGACTGGGAACGAGCAACCTCTGCCCATTTTTCCCCTACCCAGTCCAGACTTGACCGCCTTTCCCCCAAGGCAACTTTCTTACACCTATGATGCTTTAGTTGCCAACGCTAGGGGGCAGGCACCACCACCACCAGTTCCACCACCCCAGCCTCAGCCCGAGGTGGCTTTCTCTCCACCTCGTATGTCCCATTCCGTCCCTCATGTTGACTCTGACCCAGTTTGGGATCTTTAGAGTATAGGTCAGGCCCTAGGACGTATCGAGCATTCACATACTGACCTTAGAAGGATGGTAGGCTCCTTAGACCAGAGGTTAGGGTATCTAGAGAGGAACCACGGTAGAGCTCTCTACCCTATGTACGATGATTATGCTCGTCGGGGCAACATTCCCGACGACGCTATTTACCCTGACTGGTTTCAGCCTCCACCCTAGGGATACGATAGGGATCCCACTGCTCGTGGTATTTACACTGACTATTCTTCCTTTTTCGGGTACGGGCAAGACATTCCTTTCGGGGGACCGGCGGGGAGGAGTTTTCACGCTGATTATTTTGGTGGTAGCTCTTCTGGTGCAGGTGGTGCAGGTTGTGCAGGTGGCAGTGGAGGTGCGGGCTTCGGCTCGATGGACGAGGATGATGAGGACTAGCTATGCTGGGCTAGTTTCCGAGCCAATGAGGACATTGTCTGATTCTGGCTTGGGGGAGATTTTAGTTTGGTATTTTTCTTTATCTCTTTTCTTTTATTTTTGGTGTGTTTTCTTAGGTTAGTTTTCTTGCTTTCTAGGTTAGTTTTATTGCTTTCTTTATATATAAAAATCCAAAAATAAAAAATTGAAAAAAAAATCCAAAAATACATTCCAATGAATTATAATTATGCTTCCCTGTGCCCCTTACTTGAGAAAAATTGTTTTGATTCCTGGTATTTGATGATAAGCATTGTGGATTAGTTGATCATGATTTGATGTTTGATTGCCTTGAAACCTTAACATGCGTCAATTTTGTCCAACTACTTGTGAATATAGTGCTTGACTAGTTGATTTGGTTAGGAATGTGTGATAGTTCCATAGTTCCTGGTATGTCAATGAATTTGAGTATTGGTTTGCAACTATAAGTAATGTTTATATGATTCATTATTATGCACATTGAGGAGGACGAAGACATTTGTTCTTTTAGGTAGCCTCCAGATATTGTAAATACATTTGTTCCCTTCTTGCTACCCATGTTGTTGCCTTGAACTTTTGTTGTTTATTAGCCATATTACAAGCCTATTTTGCCCCATTGGTTACTAGTCCCAAGCTTGGCTTGGGGGAGCTATTAGTGAGTGAGGCGAGGGAGTTTGTAGTGTGCTTATTATTAGCACAATTTAGGTGGGGGTTTGAGAAGTTGTTTTGTAGTTATTCATGTTTATTTTTGATGAGTTTGAGAGTTATATTTTCTTAAAAAAATAAAGCATGATGTTATGAAAAAATAGAAGTTCAAAGAAAAAATGTGAAAAAAAATAAGTGAACTTCAAAAGAAAAAAAAATGTTCAAATGTTCTATTTGGAGGTTGATCAAAGAAAATTTTTGAGCTTCAATGAAATTATTCAAGTTTGGAAATAAAGTTTGTTTATTTACTCTACTTCTTCTTTATTATATTTTATGAGTGAAATTGTAAGAGTTGGATTTATTTATTATGATTGGAGTATATTTGGTTGATGTTAGAGTTGGTTATGTAGGAGATGTATGATCATTATTTATTTTGATCATGGGTTTTATTAGGATATGGCTCCTTTAAGCATAGCTTTTCTCTCACTTGTTCCCAAATGATTCCTACCCTTTACCCTAGCCTTACATTACAAGCTTTAAAGACTTTCCGACCTTTGTGCATAGAATTGTATGAATATGAAAGTGTTGTTTATCAATGCAAGTTATGATTTGACATATTTCGAGTCGACTAGTAGGTTGAGCGTTCATTGTTTTATACACACGAGAGTGTGAGTTGGGAGGGCATTGTTCACATAAAAGGGTTGGATGGAGAGCGATCGAGTACATCTTTTACTCGCCACAAAAATTAGAGTTGAGTGTATGAGCACTAGTCTTGAACTATATATGCTCTGGTGGTTTGCTTTATTTGACAATTGTTAGGGAAAATTGGTAATTAGATGGATTTGACAATTACATGGTGTGTCATAACCATTAAAATCAACGATCACGTGCAGTCCCTTAAATATCAAAAAGCTTTAAAGATACACTTGATATTTATTAAGAGCTAATAAAAAAGGTCATTATAAATACAAGTTTTCTATACATCCTAAATGTTACTTTAGACAAGGCCTTTAGGGTTTGTTCTATTCACCTGATTTTCATTAATCTTAACTTATTAGAACTTACGTGAACTTATTTGACCTTGTTAAAACTTGTTTTAGTTGTAGTTTGTAATTGAATAACCCTTATCAAAACTTATTACACATGAAATAAGAGAAAATATGGTGAACAAAACAAACCCTAAAATGTGTTCTCTCACTAAGAGTTTTTAAGAGACCATACTGCACTATTCCAAATTTCCATGTACGGACATCTTATTCAAAAAAAAAAAAATAAAAAATAAAGTATGGACATCTTCAAAAAATCCACGCAGACTTAAATAAGTGTTTTTGGCCGATTCCAAGCCAAAAAATTATCATTAATCCTGTAAAGAGATTCAAATTCCACCAAAGCACAATCATGTTAATAGAAAAAAAAAAACAAAAAATTCATTATTTCAATATTTGCCATCCTATACCGTAAAACCACTTATGGGATTAAGGCTTTGATTGATGGATTATACTGTAAATCAATCACTTGTATTTGACCTACCACTTTTTTTCACGCAAAAGGGGGAGATATTATATTACATCATAAAGGCCTTAGCCGAGTTTAGCAACAACAAAAGCAGATAAGAGAGATACTTAAGCAGTAATCTCCTCTTAATCTGAATAGAAACAGACTTGAAAGTAATGAAAACAGAGCTAGATAAAGTTTTAGGACATAAACAAAATGATCCTACTTGACTCATTACAACGCATAGTACTCATCAGGAATAGCAGCAGCACGATAAAACTAAGCTTGGGGCTGGTAAGCTAGGATTTCAGCAGCATACTGATCAAAGATATCAGCATGAGGGTAGAAATAAGTTTCTTTCTCCCCCTTCTTGACCCTAGTTCTGCCAATATGAGCTAAAGCATCTGCAATTTGGTTGACATACCTCTTGGCATGAAAGATAGCAACATCCCAATCTCGAGCAAGAAGGGAAGCAACATCCCTGATAACGTTACCTAGATCGTGATCCTTGAAAGCTTCTGGATTTTTCAGCATTTTAGAAAGAGCATCAGCGTCTGTTTCAAGGTCAAGGTGCTGAATTTTCCTCTTCCAAGCCATAAGAAGACCTTCTCTGATTACAATGAGTTCAGAGGCAGCACCAGCCATAAGAAGACCTTCTCTTATCGTGATCCTTGACCTACCACTTATTTTGAAGTGATGAACTCAAAAAATGTATTCTAAACAACAAACACTCGCAGTTGCATGCATAAAACACCATCAATCAATTAGTACAATATCTTTAGGCCAAATGAAAATCAAAATAGATAAAACTATACATTCATCATGGACAATCCATCAAAAAAGATACCTTCAAAGAGGGCATCTTGTTATTGTCTAAGAAACCCTATAAACAACTATAAAAGCCTCTTCTCTCAATTTCTTTCCCAACACAAAATCATCCTGATACGAAAAAGAACTAAAATTGAATATGTTAGCATAGAAACCTAAGCAATTAAAATATTTTGGTACTGGATGTACTTGTTTGTTTGGTCACTACAAGAAACTTTATGAATTCCGTATGGCCCTCAATTCTTTACCAACCTGTTGACCCTTATGAGGTTTTGATGATGATGTTAAGAATTGAGCAAACTTCCTTTTAATAAGGATTTTCTAGTGTTGTAATGTTTGCAGGTTCAGTAAGCAGTGGCTGAAGTAGGAACTAAGACAAAGGAATTTTAGAAGATCCAAGAGGATAAGTAAAGACAGAAGAAGAGTTCCAGCAATGGAACTTCCCGAAGTTTCTCAACAGGAACTTCAAAACGGGTTGTAACGACCTGGTTCCGATGTAATACTGGGGCAAGCCTCAATAACCAAGGATCAGTGCAAAGATCGAGATATCAATCGAAAAAGATGAACTTCATAACTTAACAGTTGAATAAAAGATAAGTTTGTTTTTGTAGGTTGATGTAAGCATATTAATGGTTGTTATGCAAGGAATTTATTAGAAGTCAGATAAATCTTGGCAAGCTGATTAATTCGTAAAAGATAACTTTAGTTTTATGAAAAAGTACTTAATTGATTTTATCTTATAAAATCTGAATTAACTCGGTTTTATCTTTTTCATAAAATTCTATCTTTTAGTTAAAACGAATTTGATAAAATTGGTTTTCAGATAAAGCGAAATTAAATCTGTTTTGATTTTGATTTTAAAGAAGATAAGATCATATTTCTGTTTGAGTTATTGATGTGTCTATTTTATATATTATTTTATACCCGTCCCTTGGTCATAATTAGTAGTGTTTTTGGCTCTTTAGAGCCACTTTTATTACTAATTGGTGTTTTCTAGTGTTTTCGTAGATTTGGTTGACTTTTGCAGGGATTTATGCTTTTGAAGTATTTTCCTGAGATATTTTGGAGCAATCACGAGCATTGGAGAAGCACGACCAGAGTTTATAGCCCAGGGCCGGTTAGAGCCATCGAACCGGTGATTAAGGGCTCGGTATAGGTGATGCCGGGGCATTTGGACCGAGTATTCAAGACCCAAAGAGGAAACCCAGATTGGCCCGAAGAATTGGAGCCCAATCGAAATCCAAATAGTGGCCCAAATGAGCCGCCCGGCCAAAAAGGCTGGCTCCCGGAGGTGCGCGCGGCCGGGCGGGAGAAGCTTAGGCTGGCGCCCGGTGACGCGCCCGGTCGGGCGCGAGATTATTAGTAATGAGCAAAAAAGGCGCGCCCGATCGGGTGCGTGTTTTATTAGTTGACGATTAACATAGTTTTAATTTGTTTTAGTTTAGGATTTTTGTACGGAGTATAAATACTCCTCCGTAATACGTTTTTAGGACTTCCTCTTCTTCTTCTCCTCTTTACTTTCTTTACTCTCTTAATTATTCTCTTAGAATTCTCTCTCTAACCCTTTGTTCTTAATTCTACTTTTAATTCCAGATTTATTTTGGTAACGATTCCTCTTCTCTTAATCTTAGTTATTTATTCTATTCCTTTAATCATGTCTTATTTTATTGCTTTGATTTGTTTAGTTTTTAATATGTGTGAGTAGTTTAATTTCTAGGGTTTATGGGGAAGGGGTAATTTATTGTTGTTAATTATCAATGCTAGATTAATTTCCTATTGATTGATTTAATGATCTGTGACTAGATTAGGCCTATCTTTTATGCATGAGTTTGACAATATTGATTCAAGATTCGAGGGATGAGAATTAATGTTTAGGTCTAGTTTCAATAGGCAGATTAATTTATAAATGGTTAAGTCGAGATTCGAGAGATGAGATTTAATACCGGTAGATTAATTCTGTGATTGTAATACGTAGCGAAAGCCCTTTACAATCTGGTTAATTGATGCATTGATGATTGACTATTATTGATTATTGATATTGCATGATAATTTCCTATTGAATTGTTTTAATGTTTTACAATTGCGGCTTGTAAAAGTATAGCAATATTAAATTGATGAACCGAGCAGATGTTAATTTGATATTAAAGGATATTTTCAATAAGAACTTACATCTAGTAAATTGCGAGAGCCTGTTAGATCTATGTTGATTAATAAATTGCGAGAGCCTGTTAATCATGTTATTTATGCAATGTCAATGATTGGTTACTATGTTTTACCCTGGAGTATTATTTATTAGTGAACATATGCCCTAGATCCTTTTATATATTGTTTTCTCCCTATTCCTATTCTTTGTAGTTTAGTTTCATACTCAAATATAAATATTGGTTACTTAGATAATTTAGATTATAATAATTAATTAGGAGTAAAAAGACTTGTTTCCCTGTGGAGATCGACCATACTTCCCTATCTACTTTAGTTAGAGGATTTAGGTATTTACTTTTGATTAGGGGATACCACTTTACCCTGTCAGTTATCTTATTTGCGAAAATCCTAGTTTGTGTAGCTGAGAAACTCCTATAAATATAGAAGTACTTCAGCTTAGCAAAATGAGAGTTTTTAAGCGTGAAAACCACTTAGTGCTTAAGAGTAAGTTTGTCTAAGGTTAAAGCTTTATCATTTTGATTTCGGGTTTCATGTGTAGCTTTCCATTTATGTGTTAGAGTGTGTCTTTGTGTTGTAATTGGTTTTGGGGTAAGATTGTGAATTCTCTTAAATTCACACTTGTGTATGAGTTTGAATTCTCTAAAATTCGAGTGGTAGCTGTGAGTGCACAGTGAGTGAAAGGAACCTGAGAGGTGTCTTGGGTCACCTAGGAAGTGTCCTGGGTAAAGGGAGAAAAGGTCCTAGGAGGTGTCTTAGGTCTTGTAGGAGGTGTCCTATCATATAGTCAAGTGTCCGTGGTGGAACTTGCAAAGCAAAGGTCTGTGTAATAGGTTGTACTAGGAGAGTTGCCTATTATAGTGGAATTTGTTTATAAGTCCCAATAGGGCCGAGGTTTTACTTCCAGTTAGGCACTGGATGGTTTCCTCATAAAACTTGTTGTGTGCTTTAAGTTCCTTTACGTTTTAATTGTTTATTTCCGCTTAAGTTCCGCGATTGGAACCTACTATTATTCACCCCCCCTCTCGTAGTAGTTCATCTAAACTAACAATTGGTATCAAAGCAGGTTCTCACGAATTTACAAGCAACCTTGTAGAGCAAAGTTCCTGAAGAGATGAATGCACACGAGAAACTTGAAGAAGGGTACTCTACCCAAAGACCACCGATGTTCAATGGCAAGTTCTATTCATACTGGAAGAATAGAATGGAGATATTCATCAAAGCTGAAAATTATCAAGTATGGAGAGTCATTGAAAGTGGTGACTTCGAGGTAACAAAAACCAATGCAAACAAAGAGGTAATCCCTAAACCAATAGCTGAATTTGATAAAGAAGATTATGAAAAATACAAGTTAAATGCTCAAGTAGTGAAAATCTTGCATTGTGGACTAGGACCTCATGAGCACAATAGAATCATGGGTGGTAAGTCTGCAAAGAAAATTTGGGATTTGTTACAAGTAACACATGAAGGAACAAATGAAATTAAACGTTCCAAAATTGATTTGCTAATGTCAAAATATGAAAGATTCGAAATGCTACACAAAGAATCCATTTAGGATATGTTCACTAGATTTACTAACATTGTCAATGAGTTGGAATCTTTAGGCAGGTCCATACCCATTGATGAACAGGTAAGAAAAGTTCTTAGAAGTCTTCCTCAAGATGAGAGATGGAGATCCAAGGTTACTGCCTTACAGGAATCCAAGGATTTCACCAAGTTCAACCTCGAACAGCTCAATGGATCCCTGCTCACTCATGAACTTCATCTTGGAGCTAACACTGAAAGTTCCAAGAACAAGAGCCCCTTGCTCTAAAGGCTTATGAATCAAGTGACTCTGAAGATGATGACATGGAGACAACCACGCTGGTACGAAGATTCAGGAGGATGCTGGGAAAGAGAGGAGAAAAGAACAAAAGAGGACAACTAAGTTCTAAGGAAATCAAGTAATTCGGATGTGGTTCCAAGGACCATCTCATCAGAGATTGCCCTCAACTTAAAGAGGATGAGAAACCAAAGTATAAAGGGAAGGAGCCAAACAAATATTACAAATCATCATTCTCCAAAGAGGACGTCAGGAAAGCCATGATGGCTGCATGGGGAAACTCCGACTCAGAAGATGAAGGAGAAGGAGAATCCTTGGAAGAAACAGCCAACCTATGCTTAATGGCTAAAACTGATGATGAAGCACGGTTGAAGGAACTTGAATCTGAGGTATGGTATGATTTTCGACAACTCAAACATTTAAACAAAGAAAATCTGATGGACATCATTCTGGAACTTCAGGATGACTGTAAAGAACTAAACAGGTCGAAGTTCCAAACTGATCAAGCTTTAAAAATCCACAAAGAACATAGTGAATGGGTAGATAATATGAAAACTGATATACAAACTAGATTCTTTGACTTATATGATAAAAATGTCCTTCTAAAAGAACAAGTTGAAAAACTGAAACTTGACAATATTTTGTTAAATGTAGAGCTAGCCCAACTGAAACTTGGAATAGACTTTCCTGACTCTGAAGTTCCTATCACCAACCAACTTCCAAATTTTGAAAAATTGAAATCAGATTTGGAAGAAGTTAAATAAAAAATCAAACCTTGGAGGAGGAACTTGCTAGAGCCAGGAAAGGAAAAGAAGTGATTAATAATGGAATTCCATTTTGGATAGCTAACTCTCAAAACAAAGATAAAGAAG